CTCGCTGCCGTCTGCATCGTCGGTTCCATTTGTTGAACGGTCTACCGCTATTGCCTGTTGAACCGCTTGAGTTTTTCGCTGCTTTAGACCTTCCGTGGGCTGGAGCATCTTCCTAAATTTGGTTCAGTTAGTACAACTGATACATAGGATAGATAAATTTTAACGATCTGCTACAAGATTATCCTTGCTTGAAAGCAGCGGCTGATTTAGGAGTAAGAAACAGTCTCGTAACACCGAACTGCTTTTGTTTACTTTAATATGGCATGACTAAACAAATTTATTATGTTATGCAAAGATAAATTAAGCATATAAACTGTGCGCTGCAGTCGTAAAATGGGCTACAAAGCAGTAACAAATGTGGTACTCAAAAGCTTATGTATTTTTCGCAGTGCGCTCGCAATCATACCGAAAGCAACATAAAACTAGTTTTTGCTACAACAGCGCAATTTACCGGCTTGTCAGATATCAGACTACTATCGGCGCTTCCGTCAAACTTTCTTAGGATGAAGTGACTGGTGCTTCGTTTGTCTGCTGTTCTTTTTCTTCCACAGCTGATGTCAGAACGAAAGCCGTAAGGAGAGTATCTGAGGGCAGCTGCAAACGACACTATCGACCAGCGACTATCAAAGCACCTCAGCAGAAAGACAGTTTGTTAGACACGAACTGAAACGTCTGTTGTTGCTTATTGTTCGATAAAGAAAAACGACAAAAAACAAAGTTCATTTACACACAAAGCGAAAAATATGATTCATCACTCCAGTCAAGATGAGAAGTTGGCTGATTTTCTTAGAAAGCCTTCTGGATCCGAACTTATCCATCGCCGCAGACAGCAAGAAAAACTTCTGAAATTTAACCGACGTTTATTAATACGTGTATCCTGATCTCAGAACACATGTTCTGCCAAACTGCAATGACTACGGGGACGACACTCTGAAGAACTGGAGTGGTAGTACTCATGTTCAAGAAGGGAAACCATTCGGTTTTTTTTTAAATTATTGGTGCACTAACTTACTGATCCTCAGCCCCCCGGAAACAGTCCATGGAAAGATGGAAGGGAGGAGCCGCGGAACAGTTTATTCAAAGGTACAAAAGCAATGTGGCTTTAGGTCAAGCAGAAGCACCTCTGGCCAAACCTTAGCCTCTGCTAATCCGGACTGTGTGCTCAGTTGCGCTGGAGAAAACCTACGACCGGTTCCCGTGCAACAAATCATAGGCGCGCCAACAAATATGTGATCGACAGCCAGTTGCTACGGGCCATCCAATGACTGTATTCTGATAGCAGATGTTGAGTCAGGGTAAATGGCGTTAAGTCGAAACCTTTCAGCGTTGGCACTAGTTTCCGCCAAGACTGCATTCTGTCCCCATTTGTTTGTGCTATACTTGGATAGAATAGTCAGGCACAACCAAAGCGATGCGTACATCAGTTCGAGAAATGT